AAAAAAAAAAAAAAAAAGAGAAAGAAAGAAAGAAATGGGGTCAAGGCCGGCTCATAAAAGGGAAGGAAATCGGTTCCCTGCATGAATGCATTAGTTAGGTCTGCAATCGCCTTGTCTGTACAACCGAGTTCATGACTTCTGCACTTTTAACACTTATGAGCCTCTCTAATTGTGGTTCAGGTGTGTTATTTTTGCAACTAGGCAAGAAAATCAAGCTTGAAAGACACGCTAACTCTTGTGAAAGCAGGGAGAACCTGTCAGACCAACAGGGCGCACACCCTGGGACAGGCCACTCTTTCAGCGGCAAGACAGAACATGGCTCAAACCTCTGAAATCTGAGACTGAAAAGGCTGGATAAATATATATGTGCATTCTAGAGGAGGAGAGAGGCTGGGATCGGAACGAGGCCATTTCAGAAGCTTACCTTCTCGTTTCCTGTAGATTCCGGCTAATGGTTTCCCCTGGCATTTGACTTCGTGATGTGTAACTGAGTTCTCTTCCTGAAGGGGGAAACGCATTCCAGAGCATTTGTTCGGGCTCATGTAGGAATAGATCTTTGACTGCCCGATAAATACATTCTCCTAAAAAGACAAAAACATATTCTGAAAGAGGCTTGAAGAAGATCCTAGAGCATTCACAAGGAGGAGGAATACAAAAGACGAAAATCAGACAACACGGTTTTTCAAAAACTGGGCTACCAGGGGATGCCAGCCCCCGTTTATCTCAGAAGAGCACTGCCAGGTTTAGAATCCCAGGACCAGCGAAAGGTTTCCTGTGTGCTCTGGTCTCTAATATAAACTAAGGACACATCTGGCCAGCAGGAGAGCCGGCAGCACACCAAGGTCTATACAGGAAGGAGACAGCCTACCAGCAACAGGGAGGTCATGTGAATTGCTGGGCTATCTTTAGGAGTTCACTCCCCTGGCAGGCGCCGCAGGTCTCAGCACAGAAACAGGCCCAGGGAACCTGATTAACCACTTGGTGCTGAAGGCGGCTGGAGGGCCTGTCAGTACAGCCAGAGCCTTTTGCGTGCCCGAGCCTGACCCCTCTCAAATCACTGCGGCCCCGCAGCCTCCCAGGACTGCGACGGGAGGACTTCTCTCAGGGTTACTGGGGAGGCTGGAGAGAGCAGAGGCCACAGCCAGCGCATTCGGGGCGGCAAGCCGCACCTGGGCGTCAGTAAGAGAGCGGACGCGACGGTGGGGCCCCTCCTCTGAGTAAGCACAGACTGAGGATGGCGTCCCCAGAAGCAACGCGGGAGCCTCGCCGCCTCGGGAACCATTCCACACCGAGGCGGCGAGACCGATGACCTCTCCGAGGGGCCAGGGCAGGCCCCGCACAGCCGGGGACGGCGGCCACCTCCGGGGAAGTTGGGTCTCGGGCTGCGGAGACGCCATGAAGGCGCAGTCAAACTTTTCCGAGGTCAAATACCGCCAGGCTCATGGTGGAGCCGTGTGGGCGCCACTCCCAGCCAGGCGGCAGCAAAGGAAGCGGCCCGGCCGGACGCCCCGGGGCGGCGCGGGAGGGGACCTGGGGTCGCCCACGTGCTTACGGCCCAGGCCGGGCAGGCTCGCCGCGGGGGTGCGGGGAGGGTGCCTGCTTACCCCGTCGGTGCGGGGCCTCCCCGGGCCCCTCCGCTCCACCATCTCCGGGCCCGGGGCCGTCGCTGCCACCGCCGCCGCCGCCGCCGCCGCCTCCACCGCGCGGGGCTTGGACATCTTCCTGCCTGGAGAGGGGGACCCGGGGGAAGCGGGGGAGGGGGCGCTCAGGGCGCGGCGGGGCGGGGAGCGGGGCCGCCCGGGCCGGGCGCCGCGACGGCGCCTCCCGCCGCAGCCATGTTTCGAGGCCCCGGCGCTGGTGGGCCGACCGCGCCGCCGGGAGGGCCGGGCCGGAGCCCGCGTCGCCCTCCCGCCGCCCGGCCCGGCCGGGCCCCGCGCGCCGCCCGCCCCCCGCGCGGCCGGGCCCGACACACCCACCTGCAGCCCCGCCAGGCCCATGGCGGCGCGCCCCGCGCCCTCGCCGCCGCCTCCGCGGCCCGGCCACCACCGCTGCCGCTGCCGCTGCTGCTGCTGCTGCCGCCGCCACCAGCGCCGCCGCGGCGCCCCGGGGAAGGGCCGGCGGCGCCCCACGGCGCCCCCTTCCCCCATGGCCGGCGAGGCAGGGCCCGGCACCGGCGCACCGCGGCAGCCCCGGGCGGCCCGGAGCGAGGCACGCAGGGAGGGAGGCGCTGGCGGCGCGTCCTCCGCGGCCCGCCCGCCCGCTCGCTCGCCTCCGCCCACCGTCCTGCGCCCGGCCCGGGGAGGGGGCTAGCAGGGGCGGCGCCGGGAGGCCGCTCCAGAGGGCGGGCGGGCGGGCGGGCGCGGCGAATCCCGGCTCGGGCGCGCCCCCTTGCGCGGGACCTCAGCCACTCGCGGAAGAAGGGGTGGGAAACACCGTCATGACAGCACAGACTCCCGCCCGCTCGGCTCCTTTTTCCGCTGGCTCCGTGGATATTTTGGGAGCCCAGTCAGTGCCAGACGAAATCAACAGCGGTGAACACGCCAGGCCAGGCCCTCGGGTGTGCCCGACGCTGTGCCCACCAAGAGTTTCACTGGCATTGAATCCTCCCCGCACGCCCATGTGGGCATCCCCGCTTACGATGGTGACACCGTGACTCAAGGGATGTGCCGGGGTTTGTGTCCCAGGCCACAGAACTAGGAAGTGATGGGGCCAGGTGTCAAACCCAGAAGGGCTGTACTTGACCGGTAGGAAGCCCTGGGGAGACAGAGCCAGGGGTTTTAATGATCGGTTTCCTGGGCGAGTCTCTTGCCGTTATCTCACTCAAACCTCACAGCAGCCCTGCAAAGGTAGACACCATTATTATCTCTTTTCAACAGATGGAGAAAGTGAGGAACTTGGCCATATTCTCAGAACTAGATGGGCTTCCAGGCCAGGCCAACTAACCTCAGGGCCTGCCCTCCCAGCCACTAACCTTCCAGGTTACAGATGAGGAAATGGAGGTTGGGAGCAGCAAATGGTCTTGCAGAAGGGTTTAACAAGACACCTTGTTCTCCTATCCTCCCGTCAGAAAATGCCCCCATAGGCAGACAAGGTTCCCGTCACTCTGGTGGCTGTTTCAGCATAGCTCACTTCCCTTTACCACTATGCTGTGGCCGTCAAGGCTTGAGGGCCCACAGCCAGATTCACTGTATTTGTGCAAAGTCATAGATGCAAACAAGACACTTCAAGGCATCCAGCTCCTGCAGCCTGATCCACGGGCTGGGAGTCAGGGGCTGTACTTATTTCCCTGCATCTGCCCAGAGGTGTTTTGTGAGCATGACCAAGTGACTTCCCCAGTCTGGGCCTCAGTGTCCTTATGGATAAAACCCAAGAACCTTGAATTGCATAATCCACCGGGGCACCTTCCAACATCCATAGATAAACAAATGGCTGTTTGTAGCCATCCCCTCTCCCGCTGCCAGCCTCCCTCGCCTCCCATTAGAACGGATAAGGCTGAGTAGGATTAGGTGGTGACAGGTCACTGCCCAGACAATCCCTCCCAAATCAGCTCATGCTTTAGCATCCTTTAAGGCAGGGTCCCCAGCCCAACCACTAACTCCAGTGGGCCAGGTACTCGGCCCATGCCCTCTGCAGCGCCTACTACAGTTGAATATCCAAAAGATTACCCAGAAGGTGAAAGAGGATTCGAAAGTGACACTCTGATAACCAGGTTGAGTCATCTGAAACTGTCTTCTACTTCTGCAAGGCAGAGAAGTTTTGCAGCTTAACTACCATGAGAATCATGGTTTTGGAGCAGGAACCAGTCATAAAGATCATCTTGTCCATTTCGCATACTATTATAACAGAGCTGCACCCCACACCCTGACTCATGGTCATAACTATCTCTGCATTTGAGCCACCAATTGCAGGGGATATATTACAAGTCTAGCACCTATTCCTGTCAATTCTGCAGCTCTAGTACATACAAGATATAATACAGATCATTCAATGTAAGTTTCATAACGGTCCTTTTTCTGCAAGTTTATATGTATATAACAATACTGGCTGGCTCAGTGGCTCACACCTGTAATCCTAGCACTTTCGGAGGCTGAGGCAGGTGGATCAAGTGAGGTCAGGAGTTCCAGACCAGCCTAGTCAACATGGCGAAACCCTGTGTCTACTAAATATACAAAAATTGGCCTGGCATGGTTGCATGCGCCTGTAACCAGCTACTTGGGAGGCTGAGGCAGAAGAATTGCTTGAGCCTGGGAGACGGAGGATGTGGTGAACTAAGATTGTGCCACTGCACTCTAGCCTGTGTGACAGAGTAAGACTCTGTCTACCCCCCCCAAAAAATACACACACACACACACACAGAGAGAGAGAGAGAGAGAGAGAGAAATGAAAACTCTTACTGTTGCCCGGGATTTCATGAAAATATATAAGTCAACAGCAATAATTCTAGTTGCTAATAACTATTGGCTGTACATTATGTTTTAGGCCCTGCAGTACAGCATTATTTGATTTAATCTTCCCAATAACTTATGAGAAGCTACTATTATTCCTATTTCATAGATGTGGAAGTTAAGGCTCAAGGCAGATAATCACTTGTCTAAGAGTTATATGACTAATAATAAAATAAATAAATAAAAAAGGCCAGAGGCCGGGCCTGGTGGCTCACACCTGTAATCCAAGCACTTTGGAGGCCAAGGCGGGCGGATCACCTGAGGTTGGGAGCTCAAGACCAGCCTGACCAGCATGGTGAAACCCCATCTATTA